GGTGGTGGGGGAGGTGGCATCTCTAAGGAGGGATGAGGTTGGAGCAGCTGCCAGTCTCAGTGTGCTGGGCCCGGCCCACTCTCCTACCCACCCTCCACAGCCCTGCCTCCCTACCCCCTCCCCTTCCCCAGAAACCCTTTTGCACGGATCATACACAAACGGGCACATTACAAAATGACATAACACGGTTTCACAATATCCATGGCTAGGGCTTTTTTTTCTCTTTTTCAGTTTTTTTTTTTTTTTTTCTACACAATGTACAATTCCTTTTAAATGGATCAAGAAATAGCTTATATACACGAATGAGTCCTTGTTATAACATCTCGGCAGCAAATATCATAAGCTAATGAAGGTCTTGTTGGAGGGGAAGGGAGCCTAGGACTGGGGTAGGGTGGGGTGGAAAGAAGGGTTATACCTTCTGGAAGAGTGAGGAGAAAAGGGAGTGGATGGGGAAAAGGAACAAAAGTAAAATATCAAGAAGCATCTTTACAAAGCAGTTCTATAGCTAATTCGTTTTAAAGGGGAAAGGAAAGGTAACCAAAGCAGGAACACATTTATCTCTGTCTTAAAAAAAAATGTCTACCATACATACATACAAAAATGTGGAAAAAAATACTTATTCCAGGGATAGAGGAAGTCCAGATGCTGTGTTCAGGTGACAAAAAGAAAAAAAAGAAAGGAAAAAAAAAACAAATAAGGACCTCTGTCCCTCAGCTTTACTCAAGCCTTACCACTCATCCACCTGTTCCAGGGAGTAAGCCACTGTCCATAAACTACTACTTTTAGAGCCTTTGGGGATGGAGACAGCCAGGCAGAACTAGTGGGATCCTCACTATATTGTCCTGAGCTTCAGAGCTCTCTGGGGTAAAGGATAGCTCTGAACAGAGGGTCTTTCCTCCTGTCTTTAGTGTCTATGGGGCCCAAGGCCTGGGGATGGACAGCAACAATAGGCTTGGAGGGACATAAGGTAATCAGTGGTGAAAAAGTAGAGAAATGAGGAAGACAGGAGGACAGGGGAGAGGGAGGGAAGGAAGGAGGTGGAAGGCTAACACTTTATCATGATTAGGGAAACCTTACCCCCATCACTAACCCCTGGGAAGGGTATGAAAATGGGAAGAGAGGGTAAGAAATCAAACCTCAGCGATTGAGCAAAGGGTCATGGAGCTATACTAGTGAATAAGCAGCCTCTATGTAATTGACCCTGAGGGGATAAAAGTAGGGAAGACTCCACCCTCTCCCCCATTGCCTCAGCACCTTGGCAGGCACTCAGCTATAGGCTTTCCTTCCCCATCACATTCCCCTTTCTCTACACTTTACTTCCAAACACTATTCAAAGGTGGCCTGGCTCCCAGGGAAGGGGCTCAGCTCAGGGCAGGGACAGCCCCCAGCCAAACGGTATTGCACATTCTCTGTTCCTTACTTTTAATCTCAACTGACAAACTTGGGGACCTCGTACCTCTGAGCACCTCTGAGCTGGGGGAGGGGAGACATAACAGAAATGGCACTTCATCATGGTGGGGAGGAAGAGGCTAGACAGACATGCCACAAGGCAAGATGACTTGTAGGGAAAATATTTTTTTTAAAAAAGCTTCCAATTTCATGGAAGAGAGAAAAGCAAAACCAAACCATTTATCCAGTGCTTTCAAAGCACAGAGGGCAAAGAAACGATGTAAGAATATATCTTTATATATATATATATATATATATAATTTTAAAATAATCCCACTCCCAGTTCCATTAACACCCCCCTCCCACCACTTATAGTCAGGGATACCACATTCCCCAGAAAAATACTCGAAACGACCCCATCACTACCTGTTACTAGTGTCTAGCTTCCAGATCATTTCACCACTGGGGGAGCCCAGACATAGGCTGTAGCTCTGCTCCTTTATTAAGTGCTCAATGAATTTGGGGGAAGGGAGGAAAGAAAAAAGCCAGGAAGGCCTTGCAGGGCCAGTATAATCACCCACAGTGGCTCTGGGGTATGGGGAATAGAGGCCAGAGTGGGGAGAACTGAGCCTGATTCTAGCTCCTTCTCCCATCCCATCCCCAAACTTTATAGGGAAGATGTGCAGTTTGTGTGTGTATTAATTTTAAAAGTGCCTTCTTACTTAAAAAAAATTATTTTAATTTTAAAAAATAAAAATGGGGGAACTTCCCCAGGTGGCTTTCAAGGGCAAAATGTTGAACTCCTCTTCACACCTCTCTGCTTAAGAGTATCCCTTCCTCGCACTGTGATAGCTTCTAGAGCTGGAGAGGCAGGTGGGTGTACACTATGAAAGCAGGAACCCCACCTTTATGGGACTTCCCTTTACCTCAAAAACAGCCTGGTCCCTTCCCCCTCCCCCATGGAATGGGCAAATGGGATGCTAACCTCCCCAATCCCCAGAACAGCAACATTGCACAATTCAATTCATTCTCTACATTAGTAGCGCTTAAGGTGGGGGTGGGGGAAACAAAATTAATAGAATTCAAGGGGGTGGGGAGGGGTGGGTGGAGACAACTACTTTACTAGCACAGGCCCAAAGCTGGTTTGGACATGAGTGATCTGGTTCTGAGCAGTTGGTTCTGCAGTCAGTGCAGCAGGGTCAGGGCAGGACTCCAACTTGATTAGGTGCCCTCACTCACCTCCTGCACTCAGAGGGTGAAGACAGAGACAAATGTGAGCCTCAACTGCTGGGAGAGAAAGCCCCTCTTCCTCCCTTTAAGTCTGTTTCTTCCCTTCATCATTTCACTAACTCATGCCCGTTCCAACTCTAGGATACCCAGCAAACTCAGGCTGGGAACAGCTATTCCTCTGTAATACAAATGGGGCTGTGGTTACCAGGGGAAGATTAGGATTAAAAAAAAAAAAAAAGTGGGGGTGGGGACAAGTTTTATGAAGAAAATAAGATGAAATAATTATTTTGGGCCAGTTAGCCTGGAATAGACTTCCATGTCTCCAACTGGGATCAGGAGACCAATCTTATCCCCCCAGCACCCAGAAGGCCAGGACCTGGTCTCAGTCCTCCTTGGCTCAACATTATGCTCATCATCATGCGCCTTTGTGCCCCTCTCTATGAGTCAACTGCAGGGTGGTTAAATTTTAAAGCTTCTCCCTCCAGGCTCTTCCCCCTCATTCTTAGAGACCAACTTCAATACTGAACACTGCCTCCTGAACTGTCCAGCCCAGAGGCTCCACAGTGGGTGTGCTGTTCCTCCTTGGTTGATGCCACCACCTCTCCTGGTTAAGTGCATACATAAGAACTCTGCCCTAACACTCCTAGTCATGTCCTCCTACCTGGCAGCTGGGACCCTACTGCAATGCTCCTATCATTTAACTGAATGTCATCTGTGTTTATTAAAAAAAAAGAGGGGGGGAAAGAAAAAAGGAAAAGAAAAATATTGGGGGGAAATAAAAAGGTTTAACCGTCCACTGAACAAAGGGAGGACACACAACATCATTAAAAATAATGATAATCATTATAGCATAAAAACAAACTTTAGAAACACACGTCAGAGGGCTTAGATTTCTCCCCAGGACCTCATTCTCACCTCTGTCAGAGGTGAATATTCACCTCACTGTTAAAGAAAACTGAAGAGAGAAGACAGAGCGGCAGAAGAACATATCGCAGCAGTGTGAAATAAAGGGGAGGTGAAGGGGCAGGGCATGTGTTTTCTTGTTGATTTCTATTTTTTGTCTTCTGTTTTTCTGTTTTGTTTTCCGTGTATGGTAGGCACCAGTACAGGCACTGCATGCGACGGAAGTTGGGGCAAAGGGAGAGAGGGGTAAAGGATTCAAGGTTGGGGAAGTACAAGTGGAACAGGCGTTATTTCTGTCCACTGATGGATTGCGATATAGACCGGGGAGGGATCATGTCTAAAAGGTATTCCCGCTGTCGGTCTGCCAAACTGGGGGCTTTGTGTCCTCCGATGCCAGTGTTCAAGTATGCAATGTTGACACCTAGACCCAGGAGACAAAAGTGGAGGTCAGGTACTAAAAGAGGAAATGATGCCTTCTTCTGGTACTTGGGGCTGCAGAGCTGGAGATGGGGAGAAAATATCAGAAGTTGCCTACTTCTGTCCAGACTCAGTTAAGGTTTATTTCAGCAGTAACTATCCCTCTGCTCTAAGCTTTAGGGAAAGAGGTCTTCCTGAAACTTCAGTTCTATCAGGAATAATAAACATGGTGTCTTAATGATATAGGAGAGTCGAAGAAAACAGTGTTGAGAAGAAAATAACCAAGGCAAAGAGATGAAATCATTGAATCTGCTTTGGTTTTGGGGCTGCTGATTGTGGAGAGGCATCCCTGTATCATTCAAACAGGATTAGGGCAGTTGATCCTGCTGTTCTGGCCAAAAGAGGTCAATAACCACATGCCCACCAAGGGGGGCATATTAGATATTAAATTTCTCTTTTTTTTAATCCTCACCCGAGGATATTTTTTCCATTGCTTTTGAGAGAGTAGAAGGGAGAGAGAGAAAGAGAGAAATTGATATGAGAGAGACATATTCATTGGTTGCCTCCTGCACCAACCAGGGCCGGGGATTGAGCCTGCAACCGAGGTATGTGCCCTGGACATTACATTTCTAATGGCAGGGACTTTGTCATTTTCACCACCATATCCCTAGTGCACTATGCTTGACATGTAATATGAATTTGGCAAACATCTGCTGAATAAAAAAAGAGCGAGGGGAGTAGGACCTAAAGAGAGCAGAAAACAAAAGGAGAAACAATTCACTGAAAGGAGCTTCTAAAGAGTTGTGCACTAACTAGTCAATCCCTGAGAAAAGTTCTCAGATCAACCCTTCTTACCTGGCATACCAAGGAGGCCACCTGGCACAGACAGCTGGGGTGCCTGTGCAAAGTTGGAAAGCATGGAACGGGCAGATGTGGGTATGCCACGCTGGAGGCTGCTTTGTGGCTGTGGAGCCTGCAACGATGAGGAGACAGTTCATCACAACTCTGCATATGGAAGGTTTAAGGGGGAGGTAAGGATATGGGAGTGCAGGATTGTAGTATGATTTCCTGCAGAAGGAAAACCAAGTTGGGATAAATGGCTGACAAATCCTGAGAGAAATCCTCACCTGCCGAAGTGTATGATGTCTCATTATGGTCTCTTGTTTACTGACACTGGACACAGCTGGAGCTGTAGTCGGCGAGAGGGCTGCCTGCTGCTGTAATCGCTGTTCAATTTCCTGTTGGGAGTCATCAGGTCAAGTTGGGCAGGACAGCATCCAATTTCCTAACCAGAAAACCTAGAGGTCTTATCTCTAATGCTGCCAGCTAGTTGGAGGGATACGGAAAAGGCAAAAGAGTGTGGTGGGGTAGGATGCACTAAGATCTCTGGGTACAAGTAGTTCCTTTCTCCAGGAAAGCTGGCTCTCAGAAGCTGGCTGGAGAGACCTGGGTAGTGGCAATGAGCTGACCAGTGTAATTATGGCTGATGAGTTACTGAGGTTTTATTTTTGACTCCTGTCTACCCATTTTCCAGAAGGTCCATGATGCTATCCAAAGAGGTCTGATGGGTGGTGGGGTGGAAAATGAGATAGAGGAAAAGAATCTGAGTTTCCCAACACATCCTTCCCTCTTCAAGATAGACTCATTGTATTAATACTATAGGTGGTGTTCACACACTCTAGCACCACTAACCTTCACTGGACTACTTTATAATCTACCCTTTCCATTGTCATTTCTTTGTCAAATATGGACTGCAGATAATTACTTCTCTCAAAAAGATTTCTAGTACAAATACAAATCCCTCCCATCAAAATCCATTTGTTTGAGGAAATGAAGTTGGGAATAAAGGTATTTCTTTAGTGCTATTAGGGAAAGCCAAGAGTCTCAAGCTTTCTGTCTCTTTCCCTTAACCTCAGTCATTATATATCACTCACCGTGCTCTTACCCAATCAGAAATAATCAAATGGAAATGGGAAAGACAGAATGGTAAGTAGGAAAAAAGGGAACCCAGGCCTCCAGGTTTTAGGAACCTAGATCACCAGGGCCATGGGGATCACATAGACAGCTCCTCTAAATTAGAAGTAACTACCTTTTGGGAAAACCCAATCTGGGCAGGTAGTTGGTGAGAAGTCAGAATTCTTACCTGTTCCTGCTGTAGAGCTTTAACAAAAGCATTTTTCAGCCGGTTGGTGTGTTCAGCTTTTAGAGCCTTCTTCTGGTTGGAGGTCATACACTGCTCACATAGAATCTTACCATTCTTCTCTTGCTTCCAGTGAGGGGTGAAATCTGTGCGGCACTGGGCACAAACAAAGGGTTCGACCCGCAGAAGTGAGGCACAGCTTTTGCCTAGATGCCAACAAGAATAATAATCAGTGGTTTCACATTTCCTTCCTATCTCCTGTTTCTCTTCATCAAATGAATCTTTTTCCAGTTTAATCTGCTGAATTAAGAAAGAGACTCTACAAAAAGAATACTCTACAGTTTATAAAATACTTTTATTTCCTTTTATTGTAACATTACTTTAGTGAATTCAGATAGTACCATCCCGATTTACAAAGGAGGAAACAAAATCTAAGAAACATAACTCCTAAATGACAAAACTGGCACAAGAACCCAAGTCTTCTGATTTCCTATTATATTACAATGAGGGGGGGGGGGAAAGTGTGAATTTAGACTCAAAGGACTCCGGTTAACTCAGCCAATATTTTTGCTTCTTAGTATCTCTTTACCTCAGACTGCATTTATCCTTGTCACGTTTATAACTTTTAGTTATCAGTGACTATTCACTTTATGATTTGAATTTAGCCAATATTGAGCCCTTCAGGCACTTTACTGTCAGGGATTCCCCTAAGCCCATATATTTGGAAATTCAGGCTTAATAACTTATGTTTGTATAGACTGTACGGTGTTAATACTTCACAGTAGTGACTGAACTAGTCTGGTTCAGTGTTAGTTTACAAACTTTTACGTAGTCATAGGTATTTATCTACATCCCTATGTCTATTTTCTCAAACGGCAGGGATTGAATATATAATAATGTAACACAATGAATCATAAACACTGACATTAAAAATAAGTGTTCTAGTCATCAAATTATGTATGAATCATGCTAGGTACCATTTAAAAGAAATAATATACTGCAAAAAATATACAAGACACACAAAATGTGGAATATATAATAAGAAGAAGTTATTTAATATTACACAACACCCTGTGATACTCTGCTTATGTCAATCAGGCTTGGCAACCTCTTGCTTAGATAAAAAGACTGACCAGAAAAAAAAAAGTCTTACCTTGGCTGTCGATAACACTTTGTACGACTTCTTCCAAGCCTACCATGTAGATGAACTCGCTGTTAGCTGCACTAGGCAGAAAGTGAAGTAAGGGAGCAGGAGGTTTAGGGGGTGGAATCTCCAGGAGTGTCTTTTCCAGCTGTTTGCGAAGAGCCAATTTGGCTGCAGCCTGTGAGTTGGCAGCATCGGTCATAGCGCTGGGGCTAGGAAGTGGTGAGGACACTCTGTTCACGGTCCCTGGCTGGATATGGGAGGCAAGATTCATATAGATGGCAGAGGATGTTGTGCGCTGACAGGGAACAGAAGAACTTGACTGCTGTAATAGATTTAGTACAGGGGTCAGTGATGATATGTGGGAGAAATGACCAATTTTTGCTTTTGTGGCAGAGAACATTATTTGATCTTAGTTTAGGCTACTTAGCTTCCCCAAACTCAGAGAAAGACAGGAGGTGTCCAACTTCTTCATTGAAAAAGAACTACAGCACATAGGAAAGAAGAACGATAGTGACTATGAGCTAAAACTGCTAAGGGAAAAATAAAAAATAAAAATATTCCCTAGATTTCTTTATCTTTCTTCTAGGCAGATTTCAGCTTATTGATGTGCTAGTGTATAACTTCTTTGTTCCACCTCTACTTTCATATAATTCCTCAATGCTTCCACTTTTTGGGACAGCTGTCCAAGTTCCACCAAAATTATTCTGTTGTCCTAAGTTTTTCTATGTCCAAAAACGTAAAATCTATGGTTCTTTTAACAGAGAAAGCAAATAAAAGATTTCTGTGTTTCCACACAGGGCTCTCTCTTACCGGCTGGTAATTGATGGTGGGATTTATATTGGGTGTTGTGGTGCGTACAAGGCCAGGCTTAGGTGGGCCACGCTGACCCTGTAGCTGGGCTGGGTTTGGTGCAATAACACGCTGAGACATCAACATGTGTGGGAGGGTGGTATTGGTTGCTGAACGGATGACACTATGACCCTGAAAGGGAAGAAAAGGAAAAGAGCTAGTCATAGGTGGTAAAATGCCCCACAAAATGCAAAAGGAAAAACACTGTTTATAACACATAGCTGAGTGGAAATATAGAATAAGTCTACCATCACTGTAAACTCTCATTAGTGGCTAGAAATTCCCTGTGGTTTTTTTTAAAACATGTCTTTACTGACTTCAGAGAAAGGAAAGGAGGGGGAAAGAGAGAGAGAGAAACATCAATGATGAGAGAGTCACTGATCAGCTGCCTAGCCCGCAACCTGGGCATGTGCCCTCACCGGGAATCGAACCCCGATCTCCTGGATCCTAGGTCGATGCTCAACCACTAAGCCATGCCCGGCCGGGCTGGGTTTTTTTGGTTTAAGCTATCTAACCCTATATGGAAAAGGGCTAAACTGAAAACCTTCTCTAGAAAAGAAAAACTAGAGTAGAAAGATGAGGGTTATTCATCTTTCTATTGTACACTACATCACGCCATAAAGGACAACAGGATAGTCTGCAGAAATAACACCTCTTTCATGGCCTCTGACAGTAAGATCCCACTATGGGTCACATACCTGTAATGTTCTCAAATTCTGAGGTTCAACCCCTTGGGCCCCAGGCCGGGAGGGAAGCTTGGATAGGCCCTGCTGTCCCACATGGGCAGGAGATGGCTGAACAATAGATGCTGCATTCTGTACAACTGGAGTCTGGGGGAAAGGATAGAAAACGAAACAGTTGGAAAAGGCTAAAGAGGTAGAAATTTGGAACACTCCTAAACTTCTACAATTCTTTTCAGTGTGAAGCTCCCACTGACCGGG